TCTACCTAAGGGCACTGTGGAAACCCATTGCAGCTGGGAAAGGGACTAGAGGCAAAGAGTTCTACTTTTCAAGGAGGGGCAGGAATTAAGTGCTAGGTCCAGCTCTACAGCTGAAGAAGGGACGGAATCGCTTGTGAAGGCCACCCCACCAGACCCAGGTTGACTATACGTAAGACTTAGATTTAACTACAGCATAACAGAATGCCACTCCTTTGTTCCCCATTAGCCCACTAACAAGCAAGGAGTAAAAATAACAGTAGAATACAACCGGGTAATCTTCAAGAAACAGGTTATCCTTGGAGAGTGGTACAAAGGGAAAACCCAAAGTCAAGCAGGGAGTAGCAACTGAAGGGGGAAAAAAAAACACTCTGGCAAACTAGTCAACATCCTAAGCACAGGACATCACTAGAGGAATTTGAAGCCTGTGGTGTGTTGAAGGTAACCTTAGCAACAACAAACTGCAACCTCAGCCAAAGTCTTCACTGAAGGAAGGTCTAGCAAAGGAAAATGCATGCTTATCTCCAAACCAAATACACACACACACACACACACACACGCCTACATATATACATATATATGTCCCTGGGTGGCACGAGCGGTTTGCAATCAGCTGCTAACCTTTAGTGGAGAAAAGGCCTGGCAAACTGTTTCCGTAAAGATTACAGCCAAGAAAACCCTATGGAACAGTTGTGCTCTGTAACACATGGAGTTACCATGAGTCGGAATCAATTCCATGGCAACAGATTTGACATCTAGGAATGAAGGCACGTGACTAGATTAGCACAACTCCCAACACTAAAGACATAGCAAAAGGAAAGGCATGCTCATCTCCCAAGCATTAATAAATACACACACACACACACACACAAATACATATCAGTATCTATTGTCCTATACAACACGTCAGGCTTTCAACAAAAAGTTAAGAAGCATACATAATATACAAAGGTAAGAAAAAACACTGTAGGAAGAAACAAAGCAAACATTAAAATCAGAGCAGATGTGACACAAATGTTAAAACTACCAGACAATGAATTTAAAATAACTATGAGTAATATGTATTTGAAATTCCAGTGGCATAGCTTCCAGCATCACAGCAAAATGCAAGCCACCACGGTACGAAAAACTAATAGATGAGTGGTGGTCATCCACGGTGAACGGGTTTCAGAAAAGTTTCCAGACTAAGACAAACTAGGAAGAGGGTCCTGGTTGTCTACTTCTGAAAAAATTGGCCACTGAAAACCTTATGAATAGCAGCAGAACATTGTCTGATAGAGTGCTGGAAGATGAGCCCCTCAGGTTGGAAAGCACTCAAAATGTGACTGAGGAAGAGCTACTTCCTCAAAGTAGAGCGGACCTTACTGATGTAGATGGAGTCAAGCTTTCAGGACTTCATTTGCTGATGTGGTACAACTCAAAATGAGAAGAAACAGCTGCAAACATCCACTACAAAGTATGAATCTAGGAAAATTAGAACTTTTCAAAAATGAAATGAAACGCATAAAGATCAATATCCCAGGCATCAGTGACCTCAAATGGGCTGGTATTGGCCATTTTGAATAGGACAATCATATGGTCTACTATGCTGGGAATGACAAATTGAAGAGGCATGGTATTGCATTCATTGCCAAAAAGAACATTTCAAGATCTATCCTGAAGTACAACGCTGTCAGTGATAGGATTATATCCATATGCCTATGAGGAAGACCAATTAATATGACTATTATTCAAATTTACACTCCAACTACTAAGGTCAAAGATAAAGAAATTGAAGCTTTTTACCAACTTCTGCAGTGTGAAATTGATCAAATACACAATCAAGATGCACTGACAACTACCAGTGATTGGAATTCAAAAGTTTGAAACAAAGAAGGATTGGAAGTTGGAAAATCTGGCCTTGGTGATAAAAACCATGCCAGAGATTGCATGATAGAGTTTTGCAAGACCAACGACAACTTCATTGCAAATACCTTTTTTCAACCACATAAACAGCAACTAGACACATGGACCTTGCTGGACGAAACACACAGGAATCAGATCAACTACATCTATGGAAAGAGACAATGGAAAAGCTCAATACCATCCATCAGAAGAAAGCCAGGGACCAACTTCAAAACAGACCATCAGTTGCTCATATGCAAGTTCAAACTGAAGTTGAGGAAAATTAGAGCAAGTCCACAAGAGCCAAAACATGAATGTGAGTATATCCCACCTGAATTTAGAGACCATTTCAAGAATAGGTTTGATGCGTTGAACACTAATGACTGAAGACCAGACTAGTTGTGGGATGATATCAAGGACATCATACATGAAGAAAGCAAAAGGTCATTTAAAAGGCAGGAAAGAAAGAAAAGACCAAAAGTATGTCAGAAGAAACTCTGAAACTTGTTCTTGAACATAGAGTACCTAAATCGAAAGGAAGAAATGATGAAGTAAAAGAGCTGAACAGAAGATTTCAAAGGGTGGCTTGAGAAGACAAAGTATTATAATGAAATGTGCAAAGACCTGGAGTTAGAAAATCAAAAGGGAAGAACATTTAGCATTTCTCAAGCTGAAAGAACCAAAGAAAAAATTCAAGCCTCGAGTTGCAATATTGAAAGAGTCTATGGGCAAAATATTGAAAGACACAGGAAACACCAAAAGAAGATGGAAGGAATACATAAAGTCACTGCACCAAAAAGAATCAGTCAACATTTAACCATTTCAGGAGGTAGCATATGATCAAGAACTGATGGGATTGAAGGAAGAAGTCCAAGCTGCACTGAAGGCATTGGGAAAAACAAGGCTCCAAGAATTGACAGAATACCAACTGAGATGTTTCAACAAACGGATGCAGTGCTGGAGGCACTCACTTGTTTATGCCAAGAAATTTGGAAGGCAGCTACCTGGCCAACCAAATGGAAGAGATCCATATTTGTGCCAGTTCCAAAGAAAGGTGATCCAACAGAATGCGTAAATTATCGAACAATATCATTAATATCACACACAAGTAAAATATTGCTGAAGATAATTCAAAAGCTTTTGCAGCAGAACATTGACAGGGAGCTGCCAGAAATTCAAGCCAGATTAAGAAGAGGTGTGGAACGAAGGATATGATTCCTGATGTCAGATGGATCTTGGCTGAAAGCAGAGAGTACCAGAAATATGTTTACCTGTGTTTCATTGACTTTGCAAAGGCATTAAACTGTGTGGATCATAACAAATTATGGATAACATTGCAAAGAACGGAAATTCCAGAACACTTAATTGTGCTCATGTGGAATCTGTACATAGATCAAGGCAGTCGTTCAAACAGAGCAAGGGGATACTGCATGGTTCAAAGTCAGGAAAGGTGTGTGTCAGGGCTGTATCCTTTCACCATACTTATTCAATATGTATGCTGATCAAATGATCTGAGAAGTTAAACTATACAAAGAAGAATGTGGCAGCAGGATTGGAAGAAGACTCGTTAAACAACTTGCGATACGCAGATGACACAACATTGCTTGCTGAAAGTGAAGAGGACTTAAAGCACTGATGAAAGTCAAAGACTACAGCCTTCAGTATGGCTTACACCTCAACATAAAGTAAACAAAAATCCTCACAACTGGACCAATAAGCAACATCATGATAAACTGAGAAAAGAGTGAAGTTGTCAAGGATTTCATTTTATTTGGATCCACAATCAACACCCATGGGAACAGTGGTCAAGAAATCAAATGACTTACTGCATTGGGCAAAACTGCTGCAAAAGATCTCTTTATTTTAAAGTGTTAAAAAGCAGAGATGTCACCTTAAGGACTAAGGTGTGCCTGACCAAAGCCATGGTATTTTCAATCATCTCATATGCATGTGAAATCTGGACAGTGAATAAGGAAGAATGGAGAAGAACGGATACCTTTGAATTATGGTGTTGGAGAAGAATACTGAATGGACTGCCAAAGAACCAACAAATCTATCTTGGAAGAAGCAGAGCCAGAATGCTCCTTAAACATGAGAATGGTGAGATTTTGTCTCACATACTTTGGACATGTTATCAGGAGGGACCAGTCCTTGGAGAAGGACATCATGCTTGGTAAGGAGAAGGTCAGTGAAAGAGAGGAAGACTCTCAGTGAGATGGATTGACACTGTTGCTGCAATGATGGGCTCAAGCATAGCAACAATTCTGAGGATGGCACAGGACTGAGCAGTGTTTTATTCTGTTGTACATATGGTTGCTATGAGTCGGAACTGACTTGATGACGTCTAACAATCACAACAACAACATGAGCAATGGGTTAAAAGCTTTAGTGGAAAAGGTAGACGATATTCAAGATGAGACAGCTAATTTCAACAGAGATAGAATCAACAAGAAAAAGTCAAATGGAAATCCTAGAAATTAAAATACAGTAACAGAGATGACAAACACCTTTAATGGCTCATCAGCCAAAGAATCAGTGAATTTGAGAATATGTCAGTAGAATTACCCAAATCAAAACAAGAAGAGAAATAGAGTAACAAAACAAGAGTACCAATAGCTATGGTACAGTATTAAGCATACACATAATTGGCGTACCAAAGTAAGATTATTAGAAAATGCATCTCAATGAATGCTGAAAAATCATTTAACAAAATTTAATATCTATTCATGATAAAAAGTAGGGATAGAAGGTGACTTTTTTAAACTTATAATGGGCATCTTAAAAAAAAAAATCCTACAAGTAACATCATATTTAATGGTATAATACCAAATACTTTGCTCTTGAGATCAGGAACAAGGCAAGGATGTCCTCTCTCATCATTCCTGTTTCACATTGTTTTAATTTAATTTCCTGATGAATAATGATGTTGAGAACCTTTTCCTAAGCTACTGGCCATTTAGATATACTCTTCTGTGAAGTGTCTGTTCGCATTGCCTGCCCATTCTTCAACTGAGTTGTTCGCCTTTTTGTGTTTTTATTATTGATTTATAGAAATTCCTTATGTATTTTGAATATACACATACTCCTCACTATCTTGTTATCTGATATTTCGCATTTAGAATAATAGTAAAAAATCTACCATCCGATTATTTTTCGCATTAACGAGGCGGCGGACATGGCGGCAGCGGAGCATACCTTCCCTCGAAGAGGGTCTCCGGGCAGCCTCCGGGAAGCTGGACCTCGCTGCTCCGGTGCCGTCCGCTCCTGATCCTGCCGGGGTAGGCGCAGCATTCACCTGCCAAGGGACCCGCCTCCTCTGTGGCCACGACCTTTGGCGTGATGCACAGGCCATTCGGAACCCTCGGGCGCCTGTTCTGGGTTCCCAGCTCCCAGTGGCCTGAAGCCCTGCAGCTCAAAATTGCTGTGGGGCGGGAAGGAAGGAAGGAAAGAGGCATTAGAGAGGGTGTTTGGAAGAAATGTGTGTGAGTTTAATGACATCCCAAAGTGAGTCATACTTGGCCTGAAGCCTCTGCCTTGGTGGGGGCAGGTGCACGGCCAGGCTCCCAGCGCCCTGGCAGGAAGCCCCAAGCCTCAGTGACTTACTAGGCCCAGAAGGCAGAGCAGGGTTTGGGATCATAAACGCAGGGCTTGCAGGGGTGGGAGTGGAGCACTGGAGACGGCTCCGTGAGGGAAACTCTGACCTAGCATAGGATGAAGGTGAATTGGTTAGACTGTGGGCCCTCCAGTCACGCAGCCCGGCATTATTCAGCTTTGTCTCCTCCAAGTCGCCCTCTCCGCAGAGGAATAATCTTCACTGGATTCCTCACAGTGATGAGCACATCAGTAAATCTTAGCTGCTGTTATGATTATATCTTCTAAATTAAAAAAAATCGGGCAAATGGATGGTCTGAAAACATAAAAAAAATCCTCCATTTTCGTATCACGCCGATTTTTGCATAACGACCTGGTCTTTGGAATCTAGACATGTCAGTAAGTGAGGAGTGGGTGTAATTCTTTTGTGAGATAAATATATTTTCTCATTCTCTAACCTGACATTTTATCTTTGATGGTGTTTTTTTGAGGAGCAAAATTCTTAATTTGAATGACGTGGAGTAAAATTATCGATTTTGTAATTGACTTATTTCACTCAGCATAATGTCTTCAAGCTCCATCCATGTTGTAGCATGTATCAAGATTTCATTTCTCTCTCTGGATGAGTAGTATTCCATAGTATGTATGTGCCACATTTTGTTTCTGCATTCATCCATTGATAACTATTACAGTTTTTCCACCTTTTGGCTATTGTGATCTCACTTATATAAAAATACAAGAGCAGGTAAATGTATGGAGGCCAAAGTTAGTGGTTACCAAGGGTAGGAGGGAGGGGGAAAAGGGGTTATTGCTTATTGAGCACTAAGTTTTGGCTTTCAGAGATGGAAAAAATCATATTGCTTAAGGGTAAGGGTTGCACAGTCGATTAATGTAATTGATGTCAATAAGTTGTACACCTATAAATAGTTGAACTGGTAAATGTTGTGTGATAGATATATTTACAGCAACAACAACAAAAAGAGCAGTGCTGAAGCTGCTTATGTACAACCAAACACCTCATGGAATTTGTTTTCTTAGTTTGGAGGTTTAGGGTCATGGTTTCATGGGACATCCCAGTTAATTGACCTAATATCATGTTTAGTGCTTCTGTTCTGCCTCCTGGTTTGTTGTGTAGTGCCTGGGGTCTTAAAAGCCTGCAAGCAGCATTCCAAGTTACAACAGTTGGTCTGTATTCCCCTGGACCAACAAAGGAAGGAGAGTCAGGAATAGAAAGAGAAAATGGAATGTGTGGCTAATTGCCTCCACAAACAACTGTCTCTTTGCCATGAAACCAGAAGAACTGGATGGTGCTAGGCTACCATTACTGAACATTTTAATCAAAGATTCTATAGAAGAATCCAGATCAAAAGGGGGAAGATGCAGAACAGAAATCAAATTCTCAAGGAACCCAAACTTTCTGGAGCCATTAGGACTGGGAGAACTGCTGAAACTATTGCCCTGAAATAATCTTTAAACTTTAAACCAAAAATATCCCCTGAAGTCTTCTTTAAACCAAACAATAGTTTAGCTTAATTAGTAAAGAATGTCTGCTTTGAGATACTGCTTTTTTAAGAACTACCTATATGAGAACAAATTGACAACAGCAACTTGAAAGATTAGATATGAAACTTAAGATACAGTGAGTTTATGTTAATGGGGAAGAAACAATTCAAAAAAAGAAGGTAAAACAACCTACAGACTGGGAAAAAAATTTGGCTACTATAAATCCAGTCAGCATCTAATCTCTAAAATCTATAAGATACTGCAAAACCTCAACAACAGAAAGACAAATAACCCAAATAAAAAATGGGCAAAGGGTATGAACAGGCACTTCACCAAAGAAGACATTCAGGCACTAACAGACATGTGAAGAAATGTTCACTATCATTAGCCATTAAAGAAATGCAAACCAAAACTGCTATGAGATACCATCTCACCCCAACAAGGCTAGCATTAATCCAAAAAACACAAAATAATAAATGCTGGAGAGGTTGTGGAGAGACTGTTGGTGGGAATGTAAAATGGTACAACCACTTTGGAAATTGATTTGGCGCTTCCTTAAAATGCTAGAAATAGAAGTACCATACAATCCAGCAATTCCACTCTTTGCAATATGTCCTAGAGAAATAAGAGCCGTCAAATGAACAGATATATGCACACCTATGTTCATTGCAGCACTGTTCACAATAGTAAAAAGATAGAAACAACCTAGGGGTCAATCAATGGACTAATGGATAAACAAATTATGGTATATTCGCACAGTGGAATACTACACAACAATAAAGAACAATGACAAAGCCATGAAACATAACATAGAGGAATCTGAAAGGCATTATGCTGAGTGAATTTAGTCAGTCACAAAAGGACAAATATTGCATAAGACCAATATTATAAGAACTCAAAAAAAGGTTTAAACACAGAAGAAAACATTCTTTGATGGTTATGAGGGTGGGGAGGGAGGGAGAGAGTTATTCACTAACTAGATAGTAGACAAGAACTATCTCAGGTGAACGGAAGGACAGCACACACTACAGGGGAAATCAGCACAACTGGACTAAACCAAACCTAAGAAGTTTCCTGAATATAACCAAACACTTCGAGGGACGTAAGTGTCTGGGGACTATGGTTTCAGGGTACATCTAGGTCAACTGGCATAACAAAGTTTATTAAGAAACTGTTCTGCATCCTACTTTGGTAGGTGGTGTATGGGATCTTAAAAGCTGGTGAGAGGCTATCTAAGATGCATCATTTGGTCCCAACTCACCTGGAGTAAAGGAGAATGAAGAACACCAAAGACATAAGGAAAGTAGTAGCCCAAGAGACAGAAAGGGCCACATAAACCAGAGACTCCATCAGTCTGGGACTAGAAGAACTAGATGGTGCCCGGCTACCACCAATGACTGCCCTGACAGAGAACACAACAGAGAGTCCCTGATGGAGCAAGAAAAAGGTGGTGTGGAGAACTTAAATTCTACTAAAAAGATGAGATTTAATGATCTGACTGATACGAGAGGAACCCCAGAAAGCATGGACCCTGGACTCTCTGTCAACTCAGAACTAAAACAATTCCCAAGGCTAACTCTTCAGACAAAGAATAAACTGGACTATGGGACATAAAATTATATTTGTGAAGAGTGTGCTTCTTAGCTCAAGTAGATACATGAGACTAAATGGGCAGCTTCTGTCCAGAGATGAGATGAGAAGGCAGAGAGGGTCAGGAGCTGGTTGAATGGACATGGGAAATCAGGGGTAGAAAGGAGGAGAGTGCCGTCACAGTATAGGGAGAGCAGTTAGGGTCACATAACAATGTATGTATAAATTTTTGTATGAGAGACTAACTTGAATTGTAAACTTTCACTGAAAGTACAACAATAAATATTTATTGAATGTCAAAAAATAAAATAAAACAGAGTAAGAATGGTTGCACAACCTGAAGAATGTAATCAAGGTCACTGAATTGTACATGTAGAAATTGTTTAATTGGTGTATGTTCTTCTGTAGATATTCTCATCAATAACAACATAAAGTAAAATGAACTTAAAAAAAAGATTATCAATTTTGTCCCTTAAGTAACTTGGAAGTCAAGATTCTTTTCTTCCATACATGTATTCCGTTGCTCCACTCTGTTTATTTAGAAGTTTTTGTTTACCCCATTGAATGACCTTGACAGCTTTGCTGAAAATCAGTATGCCAGATATATGTGGGTTTATTTCTGAGATCTGTTTTTTTTTCCACTGATCCATTTGTCTTTCTTTACAATAGTGCTACACTATCTTTATGCTTATTCTTTAAATGTTGAAGTGTGAGTCCTCCAACTTTACTTTTCTTCTTCAAGATTGTCTTTACTAGTCTTGATCTTTTGAATTTCCATATAAATTTTAGAATCAGCTTGTAATTTCTTCAGAAAGGATGGCTAAAATTTTGTTGACATCGCATTGAATCTATAGGATTATTTTGGTCTTTAATTTCTCTCATCAGTGTTTTGAATGTTACAATGGAGAAATGTTGCAATTTATTAACCTAATTATTTATTACAACTTATTTTGTTAAATTTATTCCTATATACTTAATGATTATTAAAACTATTGTGAATGGTATAAATTACATTTCTAATGTTTGTTGATTATAGGAATACAATTGATAATTTGTATATTGACCTTACTTCCTGAGATTTTGTTAAATATTACTTTGTTAATTCCTTTCAGTTTTCTAAACATACACAATCATTACTTCTATGATAAAGGCGGATTGACATTTTCCTTTCACACATTTATGCCTTTTATTTATTTTTCTTTCCTTATTGCACTAGTTAGAATCTCTAGTAAAATTTTGAATATAATGGTGAGAATGGACATCCATGTTTTGTTCTATGTGTTACACGGAAAGTGTCACCATTAAGTATGATGTTAGCAATAGGTTTTTTTTAGATACAGTTTACCAAATTGAAAAAGTTCCCACTTTTTCCGAGTTAGTTGAATTTTTTTTTATTATTATTATGAATGGGTGTTGATTTTACCAAATGCTTTTTATGCATTTTTTTAACTGTTTACATGTTTTTTCTCCATTATTTTACTTTATTAATGTGAGGATGACAACGATTAATTTTTTAACTTAAAAAAATTTATTGTGGTAAAATATATATAACAAAAATTTGCCATTTTAACTATTTTTAAGAGTACAACTCAGT